AAAACTTAGCTAATCAAACTGCTGATTATAGAGCTGTGAAGCAAAGAAAAACGTACCAGGACACCTGTTCTCTTCACTGCAGAGGTCCGCGTGAACGCATGTCTCGACATCAGCTCTATACATCAGACCACGTCCACAAGGACATGTGATGTTCCAGCGATTCTTTCTCATTGCCACAAAATCGTCGTTGAACTCCGCCTGATCTCAGAATTTCTTACAAATTAGCCCAGATTTCGACACCATGACAATTTGTAAGCAATCACATGTAGTCACACAGTAATTCCCATTCATCCTATGAACAGCAGCGGCCTTTGCAGAGCGCACTCACTACAGTTTTCCGACCATGTGTGGCCACTCAAGGTGCATTTCACCAATGGGTGTGGTGGTTCCATGGTGGGCGTTGCCCGCGACACCGCAGACTTTGCGTACGAGTTGTGCTGCCCCATTCAATTTTGTTGCTCGTTCAAATTGTAGGAATCCATTCCACCTCTACTCTTCCGAACACGCCGTGAACGAGAGCATTTTTCTTGATCCAACGACAGCTCCAGTGGATACGGTAGTGCAACTCTGACATTGTCGCGCGATCCGCCGCGCGCGCGACGTAAAAGCTGCGACCTCCTTAGCTGACGCTAGGATCGCCCGCCTTTCTCCTGCAATACTTGCTGAAATTGGAGGCCTCTATGGAGTAATATAGAGAGGGCACGCAATGACCAAGTCTGTACCAACGTTTGCTAGCTTGTCAGCTTTTGGCGTCGAGGGGCCATGTTGTTCAATGGCTCCTCATTCGCGTAAGCGGCTTTGCACCGCCTTGACGCCTGTCGTCTAGCTCTCTTGCATATCTTCTCGCTGCTCTTGCCCGATCTCTTACCCGAAACCCCAACGAATCTTCGCTTCTCTCTTGGAACGACTTTTTCCCTTTCTTTTCAACGGGTCTCTGTGCCCTTTTACTACACGGACAAGTCAAGCACCACATACATTTTCGTTTCTCAACCGCTTATGACGGTTTCCAAGGCTAATCGCGTAGGGTGCCTTGAAGGAGGTGTTTCCGTATTGGGAGATGAGATGAGAATAATGGTTGTGATTTTCCGCTCATCTGCTTATCGCGAAATGTGCAAGGGCGTCTGGAGTGAAGAGAAAGTGAAAGTGATAGTGAAACGAAGTACCTCAATACTGCATCGATCCCTACGCACACAATTATTTAGAGCACATTTTCTCGATGAAAATATTTTGGACGACGAGTGAACGCCATGGCAACAAGGATCAGGGCAGAAGCTGAACAAGCAAAAAATTCGATAAGCCTTCGAACAATCAGCGGCGCAGTTCGGCCTAGTGGGGGCACCAAATGGTACTCAGCTGAGACTATACAAGACTTCTGGAAACCTGTAAATTCCCGTGACAAGGTGGCTCAATACGAACCTTCACAGAAGTTTACAGGTCTCACCAAAGTGAGACCTGTCATTTAACATGGGCTAACAAAGGAAGTTAGCGAAGTACACTATGTCCCCTCTTAGTCAAACGGCGCCCAGCTTCGTTTGCCTTCGAGTAGTCGCTGAGCAGCAAAGCCGGGAAGGGCGGAGGGGTAGTTTTAGAATTCCAACTTGCTCGTCTGTGATTAAATAGAAGGACTATTCAACCAATCACAGTCGAGACCAGATCAGAAACAGTCGCCACTGAGGAAAGGTGCCAGGTTAGCGACTATACGCGCTATAATCAATAGAAAGAACTTAGAAATAGACAACTAGACCTCTCATAAGCACATTCATATTCTGCGCCAAGGTACTCGTCTA